TTGGGATGTTGTGGAACGGGTGATTCACATCATGGATGTGCAGCCGACAAATCTGCAGCAACTGTGTGATGCTATCATGTCAATATGGAGCAAAATCTCTGAGGAATATTTCCAGTAGCTTGTTAAATCTACGCCATGAAGGATTAAGGCAGTTCTGAAGGCAAAAGGGGGTCCATGATGGTACTAGTAAGATGTACTTAATAAAATGGCAGGTAGGTATATACTGTATATATATTCTCAAAGTAATCTGTTAACCTCAAGTAATGAGTTAATAAGAACAAAACGCAGATTAATGTGAATAAAAAATGTAATGCTATGTGAATATTAATGAAACAATTATTCAACATGGGACATGAAAAATAAAAATTGTCAGTGTTGATTTAATGTCAACTTAATAACCACATTTGTATGCATATATTAAATTATACAATCAAACAGCAGTATTAATTATTTTTAATTAATATTTTCCAAATGGCGTGACATGATGGTTCTGTGGTTAGAACTATCGCCTCACAGCAAGAAGGTTGCTGGTTCGAGTCCCAGCTGGGTCAGTTGGCAATTCTGTGTGTTAAAAATAGTTTGCATGTTCTCCTAGTGTTGGTGTGGGTTTCCTCCGGGTGTTCCGGTTTCCCCCAAAGTCCAAACACATGCGCTATAGGGGAATTGGATAAATTAAATTGGCTGTAATGTATGAGTGGAAATGAGTGTGTATGAGTGTTTCCCAGTACTGGGTTGCAGCTGGGTAGGCATCGGCTGTGTGAAACATATGCCGGATAAGTTGGTGGTTCATTGTGCTGTGGCGACCCCTGATGAATAAAGGGCCTAAGCTGAAGGGAAATAAATAAATAATATTTTGCAAATAAAGCCAGCATAATAAATAAATAGTGCTTTACACATTAAATGCATTTATCTTTAACAAACGTTGCAAAATTCCATGCTAAAATTTGGATTTGTCCATTTTTATTTCATTTTTAAAAAATTTTTATATTAAGCATTTATTAAATATTCTAAGTTTATATATTTATAAAACAATCAAATAGCAGTTTTTATCATTTTCTCTACACTTGTTGCAATGCATTTGGGTATTCTGGCCTTTTTTTGTCCAATCTGGCTAAATCAAGGCAGAACAGTCCATAATTAATGCTTTACATGCATTTCTAATAAATGCCACAACATTGACTGAAATTCATGTTGGCTTTAAAAAACATTGTAAATAAATTATAGACATAATCAAACAGCAGTTTTAATCAGGTATTATGGACTTTTTGCCAAAGATTCTGTCCAAACAGAGGTAGAATAATGAATAATTAATGCTCTACAAGTGGAATGCTTTAATTTATAATAAACCCAACAAAACATACATAACATACTAACCACCATTTTATTTATTATTGGTTTAAGTAGATATTAAGGAAATATAATTTTTTTATTTGTTTATCTGTTTAATTAATAAATTTATTTATTTGTTAATTTATTTGTTTTTTATTAATTTATTTGTAAGTTAATTTAATTGTAAATGTATTTAATTATTTGTTACTTTATTTATTTGTTAATTTATATTTTTTGCTTATTTGTTTTTATTTATGTTTATTTAATTGTTAATCTATTTATTTGCTAATTGGTTTTAATTTTGTAATTATTTATTTATTTGTTAATTAATAAATAAATAAATAAATAAATAGCACTTCCTGCTTTGCTACTGTTCGGACGTCTTTGCCTACTGCTCCGCTCTTTGCACTCTTGCTTTTATATTTTATATCCTAATTTTAACTCGAGCCCATCAGCACAGCGCTCAAAAACACAGCTTGAAGATCAGCATCGATTCTCCAAACTTTCTGGAGTATAGCTTTACTAACAAGAGGGGAATTACCGTCTTTACAGAGCTGTTATCAATAGTAACCTCTGAACTTGACAATTTTAGTATTGCTGGGGATTTTAATATTCACATTGATAATCCAGAAATCAATGCTGTAAAAGAACTGATGATAGTTTTAATACTTTTGATCTGACTCAGCATGTTCAAGGACCCAAACACAATCGTGGACAAACTCTTGATCTACTTATAACTAAGGGTTTACACATTTTATCGACTGTTGTTAAGGATGTTGCATGATCTGATCATTTCTGTATTTTCTTTGATTTATTGATCACTCCAGCTATTAAAGACAGATCTGTCTCTGTCAGAAAGAGATTCATAAATGAGAACACCAGTGAGCTGTTTATAAAGGCCATATCGCTAGCACCAAGTATATCTGCAGACTCTGTTGATTCTCTTCTTGATTTGTTTACCTCTAAAGTTAAGATTGTCATAGATGACAAAAATATTTAATTATTATTTATTTTATCATTTTAAAATCAAAATATTAAAGTTACAACACAATAACTAACACATAAACACATATTATTATTTATAAAACAGTAAAAAGGTAAATAAAAATGTAGTGGATTATATTATGGCCCTTTTTTACCCCCTACATTAAAAAAAAAAAAAATTTTAAAATCAAGATATTAAAATAACATCACAATAACTAACACATAAAACTAACATAATACAATTAAACCTTTAATAATTATAATGATACAATTAAACAATTATTATTTCTATTATTATAATTATCATTATTATTATTTCTATTATTATTATTATTATTCATTAAATGTATATTTTTGAAAATAGCCAAAAATACATTGTAAAAGTCAAAAATATCCCTTATTCATTCATTTTCTTTTCGACTTAGTCCCTTTATTAATCTAGGGTTGCCACAGCGGAATGAACCGCCAACTTATCCAGCATATGTTTTACACTGCGGATGCCCTTCCAGCTGCAACAAATCACTGGGAAACATTCATACACACTCATTCACACACATACACTACGGACAATTTAGCTTATTCAATTCACTTATACCACATGTGTTTGGACTGTGGGGGAAACCGGAGCACCCGGAGGAACCCACGCCAACACGGGGAGAACACGCAAACTCCACACAAAAATGCCAACTGACCTAGTCGGGACTTGAACCAGAACCTTGCAGTGAGGAGATTGTGCTACCTACTGCACCACCGTGACGCCCTAGTATTATTATCCATCCATTCATTTTCTTTTCGGCTTAGTCCCTTTATTAAGCTGTGGTCACACTGGGCTTTTTTTTTTTCCATAGACTTGTATTCATACGCACGTGAATGCATCAGACCGGAAACACGAGGTCATGCGTCAAGTTTCGCAGGTTGCTGCGGTGCAAAATTCAAGCTTGGTGAACTCTGACCTGCGAAATCGCATCACTAGACTGCGTGAGACCAATCGAGGATCAAAACATGACCTCTTTGGACAGAAATTTAAAACATGGCGCAATCGCTCGCTTTTTTCATGTCTAATCATCTTGTTTAATCCCGCCCCTTTCGCAGCTCCGCAATTTCGCACACACAAACTCTAGTGTGACTGCAGCTTTAGTCTGGGGTCGCCACAGCGGAATGAACCGCCAACCAATCCAGCAAATGTTTTTACACAGCGGATGCCCTTACAGCTGCAACCCATCTCTGGGAAACATCCATACACACTCATTCACTACGGACAATTTTAGCTTACCCAATTCACCTGTATCACATGAGTTTGGACTGTGGGGGAAACCAGAGCACCCGGAGGAAACCCACACGAACGCAGGGAGAACATGCAAACTCCACACAGAAACGCCAACTGACCTGGCCGAGGCTCGAACCACTGCGTCGCCTATTATTATTATTATTAATATTATTGTTATTATATTGTAATTATTACACATTTCATTATTAATTATATAACATTTAAAAGTTGTCTAAAAATGTAAGACATGAATATATTCTGGGCCATTTTTACCCCCTAAAAAGAAGCAAAGATGCATAAATAAGTCTTTAAATGCTATCTAGGTAGGAGGCTCACTAGGATTTGGATCAGATCTAGGGTTTGTCGTTCAACCAGTGATTGGAGCAGATTCGGGAGGGTTTCTCTGCGGAGGTGTGTGTGTGTGTGTGTGTATGTGTGTGTGTGTGTGTGCGTCTCTCCTCCTCTGTTCTCTGGGAATTGGCCAGTCTTGATCTTACTGTGAGCTGACAGCTCTGTGAAGTCTAAAAGGCTCTGCAGCGCTCGGCTCTGGAAGTGAAGTGAGTTGAGATCTGCAGTCTGTTCACTTCATCTGTGTGTGTGTGTGTGTGTGTGTGTGTGTGTGTGTGTGTTTGCACTGCCCTAGATTATTATTTTATCATGAGTGCTGCTGGTAAAATGGAGGCATGTTGTGTTCCAGAGGATCTCCCTTTGGATACTGTACTGAAGGGAGGAAAAAATGAAATTGGTGTTCATTTTCGTTTTATCCACTTTTCCTGGTGTCCTCATGTGCCTCTTCTTTTTCTCTCTTTCTTTTGTCTGGCTTTTGTTTCATCTCCGGTTTTCGAGCTCACAGGCGAGTCCCTCCTGATCGTTTTGTCCGAATGTTGAGGGATAAATGAGATCCGCGCGTCCGTCTGCTTTCTCTGTGTGTGTCGGAGTGTAAAGATCTCTGAAGCTCGGAGGAATTCTGCTCCAGGAATTCTCGGCTCACAAAAATAATGAGGGGAATTTCACTGTGGCGAGTCCTGCACTGCTGGAGGAGTTCAGATGTTTTTCTTTAATGAATTCTATTTTAGAGTAGAATAGAATATTATTGAATGGATTTGGTCTGTGTGAAATCTATTGCAGCTCATCTCCACCATGGAATAAATAAATGATCATTATTGCAACTTTTATCTCACTATTCCAAGATATGCGTCTCTATTGCAGCATCTCATCTCCAGTAAAAAAGTAGTTTAACGTGTCATTTCAGATTTAATAAAATATGATATGATTTAAATAATTGTAATACAATTAAATATATACATATACAGTTGAAGTCAGAATTATTAGCCCCTCTTTGAATTATTTTTGTTAAATATTTCCCGAATGATGTTTAACAGAGCAAGGAAATGTTCACAGTATGTCTGATAATATTTTTTCTTCTAGAGAAAGTTTTATTTGTTTTATTTTGGCTAGAATAAAAGCAGTTTTAATTTTTTTTAAAAGCCATTTTAAGGTCAAAATTATTAGCCCCTTTAAGCTATATTTTTTTTCGATAGTCTATAGGGCAAACCATCATTATACATCTTGCCTAATTACCCTAACCTGCCTTGTTAACCTAATTAACCTAGTGAAGCCTTTAAATCCCACTTTAAGCTGTATAGAAGTGTCTTGAAAAATATCTGGTCAAATATTATTTACTGTCATCATGGCAAAGATAAAATAAATCAGTTATTAGAAATGAGTTATTAAAACTATTATGTTTAGAAATGTGTTGAAAAAATCTTCTCTCCGTTAAACAGAAATTGGGGAAAAAAATAATCGAGGGCTAATAATTCAGGGGGGCTAATAATAAAAAGGGAGTCCAACCAGGTACAAGTAAGGTGTACCTAATAAAGTGGCCGGTGAATGCATATTAGTGCAAGTAAAAAAATGAATAAGAAAATGAAAATGTAAAATATGACAGAACTAAGAGTTTGTTTTGCAATTTAGCTTTTTTTATTTATTATTTTTAAGTCAAATCAATTCAAAATCGCAGTTGTATTTTTGTGACTTTTTTTTGCAATGCATTTTTTCAAGCATTGCAATCAGGAGCAATCCCTTATAATCAGTGATTTGTCTCTCAATGTAAGTTATATGTAAATATCTTCCTGTGTATTTTACTCACATGTGTTTGGGGATCCGTTCGGAGTTGGTAAATACGATCCTGGTTTCCAGGTCTTGGCTTTATATCCTTTTTTGCAGCGCTGGCAGTCCTGGCCGGTGGTGTTGTGTTCACACTGACACTGTAAGTTGCCGTCCATATAAACACACTGAGACGAGTGGAGATTACATTTACACCTGAAACACACAAAGATTAGATTTTAATTATTAACAGCTTTAATATATTTAGTATATTTACAGTAGAAGTGACAATTATTTGCCCTTCTGTGAATTTTTTTCCGTTTAAATATTTCCCAAATGATGTTTAACAAAGCAAGGAATTTTTCACAGAATTTCCTATATTTTTTCTTCTGGAGGAAGTGTTATTTGTTTTATTTTGGCTAGAATAAAAGCAGTTTTTACTTTTTTAAAAGCCATTTTAAGCTCAATATTACATTTTTTACGATTGTTTACACTCCAAAATAAAAATTCCCACACAATTTGCAAAATTATACTCGAAGGAGCAAAACACCGCCACAGATTTGCACAACATTACACACAATGTCTCCTTCACTCTTTTTGCAAAACATTACACACAGTGATTTGTAAAACTCTAGACACATTTCAACACCTTAGACACCAATAAGGATTGTGAGGTTACTTCATTGCCATTACAAAGCCCCGGGTTGCCAATGACCATGCTAATGAATGAATTGGACAAACACATCCACAAAGCATGGAAGCACTCATGTGCTAATTTGAAAACGCAGCACTCAGGTGTGCTATAAAAGGCAGCAGGTGAGTTCACCTGTATTCATCAAAAATGGAATGAGCTAGAAGAAGAGTGAGAATGAGAGGGGGAGCTTGAAGAGGAGAAGGAGGAAGAGGAGGTAGAGGAAGAGGTAGCGAAGGACTTAAAGAGTTAATAGAACCTGAACAAATAAGACAAGGACCAAATTTGACTCAAGAAATCAGTGCAACACTTAATGACCATGTTATCAACCATGGACTGACACTGATCAGAACTGGACAAAGAGCTCAATCAAATCTCAGCAGAAATACTGTATTTCTTGAATTGAAATAAATACTTGAAATATTCAGTCTGCAGCATCAGTGTTGTGCAGTGCTTGATGAGTTTATAGTGGGCCTATTGGTGTACATTCTCCCTATATCTCAAACTAATCATAAAGAATGTTCTGGGTTAGGGTTGTAACGGTATGAATTTTTTACGGTATGATAATCGTCTAAAACAATACCACGGTTTGACGGTTTCGCGGTATACGGTATGTTACAAATGTTACAAAATAATAGAACAGTGAAGCAAATTTGACTTTTTCCAAATAATATATTTTCAGTTACTATAAACAACACCACTTACAATGAACAAATAAAAAAATAAGAAAATAATAAATAATGTGTCAAAGTCCAAAGTCCTCAGTAAAAAAATAGATATAAATATTTACTATACTATAACGAAACTAGATTCAATATGGAACATCCTTAGGTTTTATGTGCCAGCATGGATATGGTTGTCTGTGGATATGGATTTGGATATGGTTGTCTGCAATAACCCTAACCCAGACAAACAGCTGCACCTTCATTTGCGTCTTTTGAAAACAGCAAGAGCAGCAGTTCGGCTTTGCTGTGTCACTGTTTTGTCATGTTTCTGTGCTGCTGTGCATGCAAAAGTACTTAGTATGAGAATTATTTCATGCAAAACCTTTTTTTGCGTTTTATTTAGCCGCGCATAAATATATGCCTATCTCTCATTCCGTGTTGTTCAAAAAGCTCGTTGTTGGTCCACAAACAAAAGCGAAACCTATGCTTATTGGTTGTAATATAGCGAGTTTGAACCAATCTGGGCATGGAGGAGGGACAATGCATCAATGTATCATGTCTGGTTTGTCCGGAGACACAGTGACGAGCGTTTCTTTGTCAAATCAGCGTTGTCAAATTTTGATGACGTAAACGCACTGATTCCGGAGCCTCTGAAAGTCCGCGAATGTTATGTGATACAGCACTGGAAAGCTGAGATTCTCTACTAATTCTTCTACGAGAGTGATTACAGCGCCTTCTGATGGTGAATGCGGTTATACTCACGGCAGGTATTATTTGATAATTCGGTCGTTTATTTCACTGATTTGGCAACAGTCAAACGTCATCAGAGAAACGGTTTGAATTTACGCTTAGTAAAAAATGTTCCTATTGGGACGACACTACAAACATACTATGCTGTTGAGTGAGTAAGTGCATAAGTACATAGTGCATGAGTGCATAGTGTGCCATTTGGGACGCAGCTTGTGTCTATATTTTGCCATTTTGCAAACAAGCTATGAATTCTGCAAATTGAGTGTGCTGTTTGAATAATTGTGATTATATTTTGAAAATAAGAACCCGATTTTCAAAATTGTGTGAGAACAATTGAAAAAAAAAACTGTATTAGCCTCCTTAAGCAATATATTTTTCAATTGAGTGTGTAAAAAATTGTGAGTGAGTGCGAGTGTGATTGTGTATGTAAGCTTGTGTGTACTGTAACTGCATGTGTGGGGGAGTTTGTGCGTGTCATATTGCATGTGAGTTTTTTAACAATCTGGGTGCAAAGTCTCTAGTGCATTTCGCAAAAGCATTAAGGCCGTGTCTGAATACACTTTTGCTGTTTTAAGGAAGGATAAATACACTCTGCGCCGTGGCGCATGGTCTAACAGGGTTGAGCTTATTTGAGACACTGCTCACTGCAGAGCCACTTGAGCTCCAGCGAGCTCCAACTCCTCATATAAGCCTTTTTTAATGCGTACACCCACCCCACATCGCTTGTAGAAGTGCAAGGAAAGAGGAGCTGGAGCTCAAGCTCCCCCTTCCTGGAGCTCAGCTCTGCCTAAGTGGCTCTACTTGGCTTGGCTACTTGAGCATTACTTGGCTTATTCTCTTAATGAGTTCTAGGTGTGTTTGAGCATAACGTACATTAAAACAATCAGAGTCTCATCTCTCATTCCCTTCAAGTCAGTTGCCTTAGCGCATTAGCTATTTACATGGTGGACTTTGTAAGTGGAAAAACTGAACACTTCACTAGAGAGAAAATAGTTAAACAGAGCATCTGCAGCGCGAGGATAAAGAACGAGCCTCCTCCATTCAGCCTCTTTACTTTCTCTTTTACTCTTTACTCCTTTACTTTCTAGCATAAGGAAACGGTGTTGTACACTCCACTAAAGACATTCATTAGCCTACATATTTGCTTTGATTTGTTCAACACAAAGATTTGTTTTAAAATTATTTCTAAATTCAGTTCTAATTTCCAGCAAATGAATAAATGAGCAATAATAATGAAGTGTGGTCAATAAAGTGAGTTATATCCAAACCCCTCCTGTTCTTATGCCCCATATGGTGATGCAGATGTCTGCAAAACCCCACAGGTGGACAAATCTAAGCTTGTTTTTATTAAAACAAATATAAATATGCATATAATAAATAATACTGCTAATAATAATAACATTATGCAAATGCAAATTGTCATGAATAAACTGGAAAAGAGGTGAAGAAGACACGGAGGCGGTTTTTTATTTATTTAGAAAATAATAATTTTGGATTTGTTTTAATCCTTTAATTATTTTTATCTGTAAAGATATTTGTGTGTTGCTGTATATCCTGTGTGTTTCAAGCAACATGTAAGCATTTGGAGCATAACTTATGTGCTCTGCGCTGGACCTTAGACCAGCTTTCAGTTGGTCAATGGTGTGATCTATTTCATTTCCTTAAAATATCAACACACCAACAATGCGCCTTAACACACCTTCTTTTCAGACCAGCCAGGGCCGGAGCAAGCTGAACTGCCGCTCTAGGCAGAGGACGATCACGCCGCCCTCAACCCCAATGTGAAAACGAAAGTGACCGGTTATGAAAATGAAGTGAGGTGTCGCGGACCTCTTTTCCAGCGCCCTATGCGCGGATATAACTGAAGACGCGCGGGTGTCGCGGACCTCTATTCTGCCGCCCTATGCGCGGATATAACTGAAGACACACGGGTGCTGATGGAGGTGTCGCTGACGCCGCCCTCTCTATTCTGTCGCCCTATGCGCGAATATATTTGAGGACGCGGGTGGTGAGGGAGGTGTCGCGGACATAACTGAGGATGCGGGTGATAAGGGAGGTGTCGCAGTTGCCACCCTCTCTATACTGCCGCCCTAGGCGGCCGCCTAGGTCGCCTCTATGGACGCGCCGGCCCTGAGACCAGCACACTCATGAGTCCACAAAGTGGCACAAATGAAAGTGCTATATAAACAATCTGGTGCAAAACGTGAAATTTACAGCTGCGCTGGTCTGAAAATAGCAGCAAATCGTGCCAAACTTGTCTTGTGCCTTATAGCGCAGGGTGTTTGATAGCATCCTGTGTATGTGAGAGTGTGCATATGTATTTAAATGCTAGAGCTCACTACACAGCCCTGATATTTACATTGCTTTGATGATCTGAAACATTAAAGTGTGACAAACATGCAGAAATTAAGAAACCAGTAAGGGGGCAAATACTTTTTCACACCACTGTAAATTTGAGTTTGATTCTGAAAATGTATATTTCCCACACCATGTGATCCTCCATGTCAGAGACAGACGCGTTGAAACATTTAACATGCCCATTCAGTCAAAGCGATTGGGAACGTTATAAATGTGAAATGAGGAGCCGAGAAGTGTTGAAGTCACAGTGAAGCAGGTGGAGTTCTCACAGATATAAATTACAGGTGTGTGTGTGTGTGTGTGTGTGTGTGTGTGTGAGAGAGAGAGAGAGAGAGAGAGAGAGAGTGTTGGCAGGTGAAGAGTGATGAACACAGGTGTGCTGCTGCAGATTGAGCTCGGGAAAGCAGAAATGAGCGTTTGTGTAACCGCAAATGGCCCTGATCCTAAATGAAATTCTTACACCTGAGCAGCACTGTGTTTGTGTTTGTGTGTGTGTGTGTGTGTGTGTGTGTGTGTGTGTGTGTGTGTGTGTGTGTGTGTGTGTGTGTGTGTGTGTGTGTGCGTGTGTGTGTGTGTGTGCGTGCGTGTGCGTGCGTGTGTGTACGCGCGTGTGCTTGTGTATGTGTGTGTCTTTGTGTATGTATGTGTGTGCGTGCGTGGACTTGCGAATGTGTGTGTTTTTGTTTTTTGTTTATGTAAGTGTGTGTGTGTGTGTGTGTGTGCGCAGGTGCTTGCGTATGTGTGTCTTTGTGTGTGTGTGTGTGCACGCACGTGCT